AGGTACATTATTAAAATATTTTAGGTTATTTTCATTTTTTTTTTTGTTAAAGAGGTTATTTTCATTTAACTCCTACGTTACATAAACTCTTTTTTTTGTTAATAGGTTGTAGGAACTTACTTTATGCTGTAAAAATACATTATCATATTAATAGCTTTTCGTATACAACATTTTGCATATTACTATCTCTTAAAGATTGTTTTCTTGGGTTAAAGGGATCCGTCATTTATGTTACTGAATTTATTTATATGTGTGTGTTTAGTGTGTCGTGTGTGTATGAGTGTGAATGTGTGTGTTAGAAAGGAGACCACGTCACATGACAGTGTTGTAATCTCTCAAGACCCGTATCTACTTTATATTTAATCGTAGCAAGAAAATAATTAATGCTAGTAGTACTGCTTCTCTTGTTTAAATAAACACTAGAGGATTTAAATTTGAGGCAGCTCTCAAAACTAATAAAATTTATTTCTATAAAATTTTGGATGAAAAATTAAATCAGCATCTAAAAGGGAAGTCATTTAAAAAACCAAAACAGAATTAAAGAACGTAGAGCATCTGGAGTATAGTGTCGAAGTGGTTACTAACGCAAGAAAAATCGTACTATCAAACTGAAATAATATGTAAACAGATTGATGTGTCAATAATATCGGATTGTTTTCTTGAAATTAGTTGCAGTGTATCTTTTGAACAAAACAAAAAAAAAGTTGCAGTGTATCTATTAAAGCGGCGACCTAAATCACATCCGTTTTTTTTACTTTGTTTGTTTGTCAAAACCTAAACTATATCTGTTTTATTAAAATAAATCGATAATTAAAAGAAGACAAAAAGATTAGAAAAAGGAGAGTAATGCAATGCGAAATTAGCTTAGGAGCAGATGGACAGTACGCTACGTAACCGGAATTATGCCCGAATAGCTAGACGCAACTCACTCCTCACTCTCTTCCCGTGTATTCCATTAATTTTTTTTTTTAATATTTACTTATGATTTGATTAATTAATCAAAATTAGTAGATATTTGAGAATGATATCGGTAGTGGAGATATAATAAAAATTGGCTTAAAATACTTGCTCGACTTCAAAAAATAAAAAATTCATTACGAAATGGTTCCCGCGAAATAAGAAGGGTTTGAAATTGGATAATCAAAGAGTAAAAGTTTTTAAAAGAGAGGAAAGAACAATAGGACGTACCTGACCAAGAACGGCTTGAGGGAGGCGACGACGTAGATTATCTTGAAGATCTTTCCCCAAGGGAGCTGCACCGGAGAGAACCAATCTTACGGAAGAAAGGTCGTAAGAGTTAACGGTAGGGTTCTTCGCCAAAGTGATAACAAGAGGCGGAACAAGAGCTGCTATTGTCACTCTGTGTCTCTGGATTAGATCCAACAATGCCCCGATCTCAAATTTGTGCATCAGAAGAACCGTCGCACCTATACTTAAGTTTAGTTATTAGTAAAAATTATTTTAAAGACAAAGCTTCAATTTGTTCAAAAAAATAAATTCGTTTAAAGTTAAATTATGGCAATCTGTTTCGTTTGATAAGATTTTAGTGATTTAAAAACAAAAAATGTTGAAGCTAATTTATATTTTTAATTTATTTATTAGTTAAAACTTAAAAGTCGTTTCACGTTAACTACAAGATATGTGATTCATTTTATAAGATGTTTTAGCGATTTAAATAATTGTTTGTTAAGTTTTGCGCGTTTAGCCACACAATATTTTATAAAACGGATTAAAGAGAGTTGTAAACTAAAAGATTATGAGAAAAAGTACCGGCTCGTAAGGAATTGAGAAGAACGCTATTGAGAGAGTAGATGTGGAAAAGAGGCAAAACGCATAGTACGACGTCGTTTGATGTCAGGTAAATATTTGGGTTATCTCCATCTACTTGTTGCGCAACGCTCGTGATTAAGCTCTTGTGTGTCAAAACAACTCCTTTTGGTAACCCCGTCGTGCCAGAAGAAAAAGGAAGTGCCGCCGCATCATCACCGCCGACGTCAACAGATTCTGATCTTTCTTGTGGGTTTGTCTCCTCAGTGAGTGCGGAGAATGGGAGACAATTCTCCGGCGTTGGCTCGTCCGTGGTGATCACCGTGAGGTCTTCTCCGAGTTTGGTTTTGTCGTCAAAGTTTCTCAATTTTTCGACGTCATGAGAGTGAGTGATGATGAGCTTAGCCCCGGAAGATTTGAGCTGTTTGTAAATCTCTTGAGAAGTGTAGAAAGGATTTGCCGTTGTGGAGACGGCACCGATCATGGAAGCACCCATGAATGAGAAAACAAATTCGGCGGAGTTTTGAAGGAGGATCATGATGACGTCACCTTTTCTGATTCCCATTTTGTACAATCCGGAAGCGACTCTCCGGCAGGTGAGGTGAGTCTCGCTGTATGTGTAGCTTTTCCCGGTGGATCCCACGATTAGACAAGGCTTGTCCGAGTCAGAGGAAATTTTTTCGAAGCAGTAAGTATGGAGAGGGAGGTGGTTGGGAATGTCAATGTCCGGGAGCTTTGATCGGAATATTCGAGGCGTAGGAGGCGCATTGTCGGAGACGACGGTTGAAGAAGTATCTGCCGGTTTGTGAATCTGAGGTTCGTGTAGAGCTGCAGTTATCATTATGATGTAATGAAGATTATCTTGTAAAAAAGAATGATAAACAGTTTCTTGTTTGCAAAATAATGCGTTTCTTTGATTTATTCCTTTTATTTTATATACTTAGATATGTAAATTTATAGAAATGTGTGGGTAGGTGATGAAGGAAGAAGAATTAAATAAGTAGGGAAGTGAGAAGAAGGAAAGAGAAATGGGGTAGGTAAAGGGAATGGCTGTTAGAAGAGGAACGGAGGATTGTTTGGTAGGTTTCATGTTAGCTATATACTCTCTTGCATGTCCTTCTCTCCATCTTGGATTTTTTTTTTCTCTTTTTTCTTTTTCTTTGTTGTTCCATACGAAATTTTGTTTCCTCCCCAAATTATGTTACAGATATTCAGGGTTGGGCCTAAGATATTTGTGGTATAATTCGAAATAAAATTCGGGGGAAAAGTTCGAGTTTGCATAACAATATAACTACAATGTCGTGAAAATAACCTTCCTTGCATTTTTCCCTTTCATAGTCAAGGTTTTTAACCATTTCTCTTTCAACCGATAACAAGGTTTTTAGTGTGACGTATTTGACGGCAAGTAAGACTTGATCAATAATATGAACCTAACCTTTATTCACGTATGAAACAGATAGAAGATTTGGTCTAAGCTTCCTCTTAAGCATAAACTCTCTTTGGAGGTTAAGGTTAATTCTTGCAAGTTGATAAAGACTTTTAGAACATTAGCATTGCACAGTTATATGTAGAGCTCATAAATGTATCATTTAAAAGAATTATTTTATTATTAAGAAATATCACTCTCCAGAAAAAATAAATAAATCAATGGTTATGACATGTGGTGAGCCTGAGTCAGATAACCGGTTCTAGTTCAGGCTCGCCACATGTCACACCATATTATTATTATTATTATTATTATTATTATTAATAATATTTTCTCTGTTAAGAGCTCTACATAGAGTTGTACAATGGTGATTCTCTTATATAGGTCTTCATACAACTTAATCATAACCTTAATGCAAAAAACGAAAAACAGACTCTGGAACTCAGGGAGCAAGACCCTAAACTAAAGAAAGTTCAAAAAGCTATGAAGAGTGGTAAACTCTAAAAGGAAAGATGGAAACTGGGGAGTTGAAAACCTAATTTATAATTAAAGTAAAACACTGAAAACTATTAATTAATATGGCCCTATATGGTTAGGATGTTTAGCCAGGCCGGCCCTACCATAAGGCCACTAAAATACTTAATTAGGCCACATAATATAAGAGAAAAAATTTAGGCCACATATCCCAATATTTCCCTTTAGCACATTGGTTAAAATGGACTTCAATGTAATAGAAGGTCTTGAGTTCAACACTATCGACACTTTCATCAGCACTTTTCTTATACTTTTTTTATTAATGATAATTTTGTTTATTTTTAAAAATTACTAGGTTGGATACTCGCGTTTCGCCGCAGGAGACTTTTATTGTATTTTTTATGGTGTTTTAAATGATTAAATTATAAATACTAGGTGTGAACCCGCGCAATGCGCGGACGGATTTGTTTTTTACACATTGCGCTGTAATTTTCGTAGGTCATTTTGTAAATGTTTTGTGTTTAATTCAATTGTTATGTAATTGACTGTCACTTGCAGACATGATTTATCTCTTGAATGTAAGGAAAATGTAAGAAAAGAAAAGGAAAATGTTTAAAAGGAAAATAACATATTTTATTTAGATTATATGAAACCATGATACATGAATTGTTAGCAGCAAAAAGACATATTACAAATTAAAAAGTCTATAATCAAAGGAGAATGCTATATACTCTTCTAATAATTGAACTTGCAAATCTCCACAAGTCGTACTCTATTGGACCTCCTGTCTTTGAAATTTCTTGTTGGATACTAAGAGCATGTAATTGTGAATTCTTTTAACTGGAATATTTGTAATTTGCTTATTATTAAATTATATAATATTTGTTGATATTTTTACTTGTTTGTTTTCTTGATTTTTGTATGTATTATGATAGATTTGTTAACCATTAGTTTTGAAACTTTACTAATGGTGCACCGATGAATGCTGTTTATGTTTTTCTCATTATTTTTCTCCTTCTCGGTTTGTCATTACACTTGGTCTGTTTCACAGCCTCTTGGAAACTTCAACGTTAAGCACAAATCTTTCAAAAGAAGCATAGAGCCTGAGTTCATTCTCGATTCAGACACGGAAAACATATGAAACAAACACGAATCGAAAAACATATGAAACAAACACGAATTTTAGATCCCATCGTAAGTTTAGAGTGATAAATAAAAGGAAGAAAAAACTCACAATACCGAGACATAGTTCCCAGATTCTCACGGTACCGTTAATGTCAAAGCCTGAGAATTAGCAAACAATCTAAAGGCACATGAGGAGGGGTAGGTTGCTTCATACCGACAAACTGAAAGGGTCTTCAGTTGCATCACTGATAAACTGAGAAGCTACCGCTTTGGAATGACGTTGCCATCGACCATCATCTAAGGAGAGCACATAATTCAGCGTTGAAACACCTTGAGAATCACCATTATTTGACACTGAGGAACCGCAAGGTCCAGCATCAATTAGACTGTAGTAACACATGGAGTAAGTTAGATATAGCCATGGCTTCAATACAGAGATTCTTCAAAGGCAACAGAAGATAAGTACTTACCCTGAGTTTTCAGCAGAACCCCAATCGGTATTACTCGGATATTGAACCTGTCATTTCATACAAAGTAAATATTTTTCTCAGCTCCTTTTAGAATCTAAACTCAGATTAATATTGGATTGGACCAAGAAGAAAAAGAAAGAATGAGAAAAAGTGGGAAAGATAACCAGGATCACCAAGTTTGACCTTTATCTCGGACTTAGGTGCCACCCATTGGACCAAGAAATGAGTGTCTAGACAAGGTTGCTTGGTTTGGAGGCAGAAAATCAAAAGATCTGCAGGTTCAGGAGCACAATTAAACTCTCAGTGATCATATCTGGATCAATATGCAAAAGAAATTGTGTCATAAATACCCATTTCTTGCACTGATTCAAAACTAAAGATACATTCAACATAACCCAAACAACAGGTATCATCAAACATGATACCATAAAACCGAAAATCCACACAGCATTAGCAGTTTAGTCCATCAGAATTGCGATTTGTTTTTTGGTAATGATGACACATACATCATCAAATTTATTGGGGACGCAAAAACAGAGGTAAAGCAAGAAAACCAATGCCCTTATTTCTCAGGGTTTCCAAATGCTCAGAGAACTTATGGTGTTTGGATTCCTATTAAACAGTTACAGAATTACTGAAAACTATACTAAGGGAAAAATACTCACAGCTTCTGGAATTGCTGATCTGTGGACAGGAGGCCATTCAACAGCATCTGAACTATATGTTACAACCGCGAAATCACTCCCAAGCCGATATGATTCATCGTCAGTTCTGTTCAGCTCATCAACTAACCGGTCGAATTCCGGTTTCAGAGAGTCGAGCTCGTTGATCACAGCGTGCAACCTCTGTTATACAAAAGAAGGCCCACTTTTGAGAACATTACAATGTCTGGTGACACTAAACAACACTTGAAAGAGAAATTAGAAAATACCTGACCCTCTACTCCCAAGCAGTTCTTGCGGAAGCGTATCCTGGTAATCTCGATGGAAAGGAATTGTTTCAGAAATCAAACTGCGAAAAACTTGTAGCTTTTGCATTGATAAAAAAATTCTCAAAAATACATATAGTGATACTTTGCAAATTGCAACTCACCTTGAATATCTAAGAAGCATGATATACAAATCAACAACATTCTTCTCTTCGCGATATATGCTGGCCTGGGAAATGTTCAAACAAGTTCTTATTGATTTTGTAGAATGTTAAAACTGACTCTGCTTAAATCTTCCCAGAACTCTAAACAATCTAAACCAGACAATCATACAATTGGAACGCTAATAACGGAAAACATTTAATTGAAATCCAAACAAAATCTAATCCAAAAACTCAGATGCAAAATCAGTGAATAAGAATCTAACCTCTAGAATTCTTCGACGGTGGAGTAGGTGAAGACGGATCGCAAGGAGCTTTCCCAAGTGGTCTGTCTCGATTTAACAGAAGGATTATCGAACCAGAAAGTCAACGAATGCTCAAGCGGATGCGATTGAGGAACGTCGGATTTGCTCGATTCGTCTACATCTCCGTCTCCTCCTTCTAAACCGCTGACGATCTTCCTCGGCATCGTCACCTTCCTCATGGTACAGAAATCTTCCTCCGCATTCATCGCCATCTTCGTCTTCTTCTTCCTCGTAAAAAAACACTTGGAAGAGAACATGCCCGTCGAAATTAAATCTACAAACTCGAGCAGAGACGAAGCGCGTCTCCCCAAATATGCAAGAGGTGGACCGTGATGCTATCCGCAACCGGACCGAAGAGCAAATCTTGGAAAGCACAGAACGGCAGAGCGCTAGGGTTACCGGAAACCATGACCACTGGAGATGGGTGAAGATTAATATAGACGCAGTGGGCAATCGAAGCGGACAAGGCGTAACCGGTGGAATTAATGGCCGCCATTGAATTATGAAACGGCGGAGAAAGGGATGCCAACGAAACGGCGGAGACGCCGAGGCGAAGAAATTAGGCGACGAAGAAAAATATTTGGGCCGAGGAGAAGTTTTTTTTTCAAAAGCTAAAAGAGGTGAAGTTAAAAGTTAAATTAATTATTTTTTTTAATTCAAAACAACATCGTTTTGGTGTTAGCCGTAAAATTTCGGGGGAAAAAAGAAAGACAGTAAACAACATCGTTTTGGTGATAGACGAAAACAAAAATTGAGAACGCTAAACGACATCGTTTTGGTGTTGGGAGGAAAAAAAATAAAAATGCCACGTGTCAAAGGCTAGAGAGTGTCCCAAACTTATCAGTTATGCAGATTATATTTTGATATTTTAATCTAATCAATAGATTATTTTTCTATTAAACAAAAATGGTTTACTAACATAGAATCTGGCCAAATAAAGTTGTTATACATTAAGCCCAAACTGTTTTAAGGGAATGCAGCAGGTGAACAGGGTTCAGAGCAAAATGTATAAGGGTACAGAGAATCTTCTTATTCTTTGTGCTCCAACTGGTGCTGGGAAAACCAATATTGCTATGCTCACCATATTGCAGCAACCGGAAATGCATAGGAACAAAGATGATGGAACATATAACCATGAAAATTACAAAATTGTCTATGTTGCACCCATGAAAGCTCTTGCTTCCGGTTTGACGGTGTTTGTTCCGAACTATTCAAATTAGTCTGTAGAAGACAGGATTATTTTTTTTCTTCATTTCCTTGTCCGAATCAAACAAATATTTTGATCTCTCTAAGCATTGATGGGAATGACGTTGACTTTTTGGGCATCGGATACGGTTTCAAAAATTTGTGTATCTCAGGATATATTGATGAATTGAAAGTTAGTATTCGTCAATCCAGAAGTTGTGTATTGTTGTTCGATTGTTTATGTAATTTAGATGAATTTCTAGCAGTTTGCATAGTGTTGGAACTTTATGTCGGTGCGACTATGTTGAGATGTGTTGGCTGGAGATGAAATTGATGATTGACATTTTTTTTTTGTCTTTTCTTTGGTGGACGACTTGACAACATATAACAAATTCCATAACTCTAAATGTAAGCATTTTACCCAAATTACTTTCATGTGTTTGAATTTTTTTCAATCATTTCGTATGCTCTGAGTTTGCGTATTTTGATTTTGCATATTGTTTATTTTTATTTTGTCCATTTTTTTTTAACATAGAAGAATAAATGGAGAACACATTTGTCATCATACTACACTCGATAGAATTTATCTTTCTTGAATTTAAACTAAGAATGGATATGTAGTCTGATTGGTAACGTAATGAATAGTAATGTGTTACAATTTTTTTGATGGTACGAAAGATAGCAGTACAAATATAGGTAGTACAAAAGATAGTGAGTCCGATTGGTGACGCTGTGAATAGTGGTGTGTTACAGAATTTTCAGTGGTACGAAAGATAGCTGTAAGAAAAATAGTGGTACGAAATATAGCAGTACAAAAATAGATAATACAAAAACGATAGTACGTATTTAAAATATGATTGGTAACATTGTGACAGTACAAATAGTGTATTTTTAAATGAAAATATTAATTATTTAAGTATTCAAAATTAAGAATAGTGTCTAAAAAAGTATTTAAGTATTCAAAATACACATCATTTACAAAAAATTAAAGTTAAACAATAATTTTCTATAGGTAACTCACATTTTTATACATGATGATTAAATTGTAAACTACTTATGTTATATTCATAAAACATTTACCAAAAATAAGTAAGTGGATGTTTTATATGATACAAATACAAATATTACTCAATAGTTTATAACAGAAAACTATGCAAACTAAATTACTATATTAAAATCTAAGTAAATTACAATCACTCAATAGTTTATAACAGAAAACTATGCAAACTAAATTACTATCTTAGTTTTATGAAACAAAATTACTATCTTAAAATCTAACACATCATATTTTATTTTCAAAAATAAATTACCAACATATATAAAAAATAAAATATCAAATAAAATATTATTTTAGAATTAAGAGTGTGTAAGCAATTTTCAATTTTTTTTATTAATAATTGCCTGTTTTGTTATGATACTTTCTTATACCACAAATTAAAAAGGTATGCCATGACAACAAGAAAATTTTCCAATTAGTTTTTTTTTCTTCTTATAGTTTTTTTATTTATACATAAACAGAAATACTTGTTGTTAGATCTAATATGAGTTATTTTTCTTCTTAAATATTAGGTTATATATAAAATTTGATTAACCAAGTAGATTTTAAAGGAATTTTACTTTAAACATACACAACATCATTACTTGCTTAGACAATATATTTTATTTTTCATTTGAAAATGTACTATAAAATGAAATGAGAATTAATAATAATAGACAAGATAAAAAAATTTCTATTCTTAAGTAACTTTTAAAGATTAGCAATCACCTTCTTCTCACATTGTTAGTTATAAAAATCCAAAATTGTTGAGCAACAAAATTTTACCCCAAACAAAAAAATCACAAGACATAAATAAAAAAAACTTTGTACTATCACTTTAGTTTTGTAATACTCTCCCAAAGTAGCATTACAACTATACCATCATTACAACATTTGTACTATCACTTTTTCTTGTAATGCTGCATTTTTTTGTAATATCACTTTTGTAACACCATATGTGTAATGTCTCTTTGATTGGTAGCATTATGTGCATTACAATTTGTAATACTTGATTTTATGGTTACCAATCAAAGCCAGTAGTATTACGGGTCCGATTTGTAACGTAATGAATAGTGGTATATTACAAAAAAATAGATGTTACGAAAGATGACAGTACAAATAGAAGTTGTACGAAAGATGGTAAACCAATAGTACAAAAATCAATTCCGATTGGTAACATTACAGTGGTACAATAGTAGTTCTTATAATAAAAAAATAATTAAAAAATAAACAAAATAAAATATTATAATTTAAATTTTAAAATAACTTAATAAAAAACGAAATTGATATATATAAATTACATATCTGATTTTTTAACAAAAATAAATGATTGACACCTTTAAATAATAAAGTTATTGACAAAAAAACAATAAAGGAAATCAGATTTAAAATAAAAAACTGTTAAAAGTTGATTAATTTAAATACAACATATTAAACTAAATAAAACAGAAATTAATGATACATCAGGTTATAATCAGGAAAAACATAACTTAATTGAAATTATATAACTTATGGTCATTATCAATTATATATATATATATATATATATATATATATATAAATCAAAACTGATAGCTTATATATTAATATGGTTATCAATGTATCTTAAATCTTAATTGAAGTAAACTTGTGAAGGATAAACATTATTATTATTTTTAAATGGTCAGCACTTTTGTTGTCGAAGAAATGACAATTTCTAGCAACTAATAATAATAAGTTTGTAAAATATATCTTTATTACTATATTTCAATTATTCATAGTGTACAATTAATTTTGTTGTACTACCCTATAAAGCTATGGTTACACTTGTACCACTCCCTTTTGATGTTACAATGTGTAATGCCTCATTTTGTAATGATCATGTTTGTAATGCTTGATTTTGTAAAATCTTACTTATTGGTTATCTACAATTTGTAATACTCTGTAACACTATCTTCAACTTACACCAATCAGAGCCTACACATATCGGTTTTGTAAAATAACGGTACAAAACATTAGTTCCGATTGGTAACATCAGAGTAACTATTGTAATAAAATAGTAATTATTATAATAAAAATATGAAAAAAGAAAAGAAGGATTAAATCAGAAAAAAAATATTTTATACAAAATAATGTTTCATTTTCGATTTTATTTTGGAAAAAAATAAATTAGCAACACATTTGAGTTTAATTATATTTAGAATTTCCATAAAAATATTATAATGATAAAGTTTAAAAAGTATATTAAATTTTGATATATTATTATAGTATATGTTTGTCATTATGAACAAATCTTAATTTAAAATATTTAACACTGATGTTTATTTTAAATTGATATTTACTAACAGTTTTATTATAAAAATATTAATACATTGATATTCATATTTGAACAAAAAATCAAAAAAGAAAATTATGATTAAAGAAAATAACAAAAATTGTGTACAATTAATTTCATATACCACTCTAAAAAGAAGCATTACATAAATTGAGGCAGTACAAATTGTAATGCATCATTTTGTTTTTTTTTGTGCAAAATAAGATTTTCATTAATTTCTCAAACCGGTCCTTGACCGAGGTCAGCTAAAGCGTTTTTCGCCAGTCTATCGGCCAAAACATTGTCCTCTCTCGAAACAAAGATGAAAGAAATTGCGGTGAATGATTTCGAAAAATCCAGGATATCGTGTAGAATCCCGTGAAGCTCCTTCGATGGATCTTCTCTGTTGATTGCTCCGATTAGCTTTTGCGAATCTGAAGCAACTATGATGTGGGTGTGTCCGATTTCTAGTGCGTGCTGCATCGCGCTGAGAAGCACTAGAGCCTCCGCCATCAGGGGTGATCTGATCGTCGATCTCGTAGTAGATCCACGGCCTAGTGGATCGCCTCTGTCGTTGCTGAAGCACCAGCCGAGTCCCGCTGTTTCTGTCTCCTTCCTCCAAGCTGCGTCCGAGTGACATCTCACTGCATGCAGTCGACTCCTCCGTTGGCTCCCCTGTCTCGATCCGGTATGGTGGTTCTCGATCCCCAATTGTGCCGCTTGCCATTCCCGTGCACTACTCACCGCCTGTGTGATAGTCTCCTCCGGTGTGAATTGGCGCTCGGTCGCATTGAAGCTCCGTTTGTTTCTACTCTTCCACAAGGACCAGAGAATCCAAGGCGAGACTGGTCCCGATCCCTGATAACAGGATTTTACTATCAATTACTCAAATCCAGCTACTCATGTCATTGTAGCATTTGAGGTGTCAATCCAAATGGGAAGCTGATTACTCTATAGAACTATGCAGGAACTATGCAATTCAAGCCAAATGATAAATGAAGATGAATGTAACAACTAAACAACCTAATATAACGGAAATGCAATGCAGAAAGTAAAAGAAAGCAGCTAAATGCAAGAAATTAACAAGAACAAGCAGATGCAAGGGAGCTCGACCAAGAGCTCGATCGAGTTGATGAGCTCGACCAAGAGCTCGATCGAGTTGATGAGCTCGATCGAGTTGAGGGTCGAGTTGGTGAGCTCGATCGAGTTGAGGGTCGAGTTGGTGTAAAAACAGAGGAAATGCAATGAAAAGCGATAAAGGTGCAAACTTTAAGATGCTAATGCGAAGATTAGGGTTAAAGACAGGGTTTTGCAGCTAAAGGGAGGCTATACTTAATCAGTCTTGCTCTTAAACAACTTGTATCAAGGTATCTCTTGATATTGAGCTTCTCAATGCCTAGCTAACCCTTTCCCAAGGTGAAAGCTATCAACCAAGACTTGATCTCAGAAACAGGGGGTTAGCCAGTGAGAATCAAGCCTTGGAGGCCATAGGATCATTGCTCAAACTAATCCATCCAACCCCTATGAACTCCATTTCGAGAGCAAGAGTTATTGGAGCTCTTAGTGGACCTTTTCCAACGATTTCCATCACTTCCATGTGGAGAATCGCCTATGGACATACAAGCCAGGGGTAGTGGTCATGTAGCCTTAAGGTTTGTCCAAAAGAGAGAGATTTCTAGATTAAGAACATAAGCAAGAAGGATTAAGCATAAACAACCTCTAACCTATCCCATCTTAAGCCCTAAAGGAACTACTCACTACACATGATGAAATAAACAACCAAATGCAATGAAATAGACATTGAAAGATAGAGGAGATAAAGATAAACAACTTTTATTGAAATAAGCAAGTGCAAAAACACAATAACAAGGCCTAGATCTAGGGTTCTATGAGCAAGAGCTCAAGAACACAAAGAGAGGCTAAAAAGTAAAAAGGGAAATGCAAATACAAGATTAATTAAAAGTTGAGCCAAAGCTGTGTTTAATTCGTGGCTCAATGCCTTTATAGTAAAGCAAACTAGGTTTAGGGTCAAAGGGGAGTCAAAGGGAAGCAACATTTTTCGGGTTTGACTTTGACTCCTGGAAAAGCAGCTCGATCGAGTTGGAAACTGGCCGGTCGAGCTGGTGGGTCGAGTCCAACCAAAATCGTCGTATCTTCTGAACCGCTGGTCCGAATGACATGAAACCACCTCCAGACGAAAGCTAACTCAATTATCCACAACTTCCAAGAAGAAGTCAGAGGCTGAATCGGATGTAAACCCTTCATTTGATACGATACTTCGGACGCATCTCACTAGCTCGACCGAGTGCGGGTCCGTACATGGGGCAGACAGAGTCTTTCCTTCCTCAACTAGTCTCCAGTGATAGGCAATGTTCCAATTAGCTCCAAATGACCTGATTAAGACATCAAACGTGCATATGTATGCAAATGCAAGCCTAAAACTACTATGTATGCAAAAGAAGAGAAAACATCAAGAAATGATGCTTTGGGTGAATGAAACTATGCAAAAGTGGTATAAAAGAAGGGCTAAAACCATGTAAAATGCAAGTACATCAACACCCCCAAACTTATCCTTTGCTTGCCCTCAAGCAAACAAATAGAACAAGAAAGAGATGAGGTTTTAAAACAAGTTGATTCAGCCTTTAAAAACATGTCCTCAAAAGCGATTTGCTAAATGTCCAACTTAGAGATTCTAGAGGTACTTGGAGATGAATCACAACACCAACATCCACTTTGGGAACCGGACACTGATCCCACACGATCTCCACGGCCGGAGTTACCAAGACCCAGCCGTAAGCATCGTGCCACATCCGTTCCCTCCCAACCGCGCTCATCCGACGTTTGAAGGACCTAGCCGAGACGAGCATCATTACCATCATCATCAAAACCGACCTCCGGTTTATCATCAACCACCTAGACCAGTGTTGCATTCACACCACGACCATGTTCTCAATAGGCGGAGAGATAGCCATTTCGATGCCGTGCTTGAGGGTTTCATGGAGAGCCAAAGAAAACTAGCCGCGACATTGAGACAAAGCTAGAGTTCACGCGATACGAACTAGATGGAAGACTTGGAGAACTCTCTACCCAAATAGAGAGAGTAGAGTCAAGATGCTTGGACATGGAGGAAGATTTGAAGAAGCAAGGCGAGGCCATTGAAGACAATAGGAGAGCGATACACTTTACCAAAGTTTCTACCAAGGAGATGGACAATCACTTAGATGAGAAGATCTCAAGTCTTGATAACAACCTCGATGGCACCACCAAGAGTCTCAATTCAATAACAGCAGTAGCTCATCAAGCTAAGAGGGAGGTAGCCGAAGTGACCTAAAGGAGAGGCAATGTTACTCGACGATGCTTACATTGGTGGAAGGGCAAAAACAAGTGAAGGCACAAATCCGAGATTTACACATCTCTCTAGACAAGAGGAGCCAAGATATTCAAAGAAGAGCTAGAGGGCTTGAAGACAAAGTAGATGGAGTCTCCAAGGAAGTCAAGGATTTAACCACTCGCTTAGCCAACTTGGAAGAGAAGGTCTTGACCGAGCAAAGACGACCGTTCCTAAGCACAACCATGCCGCGCCCGTCTTTACTATAAGAGAGACCGACCCAAGAGTGATTTGGGATGAAGAAGAAGTAGAGCTGATCAAGAAAGAGCCACAAGGCTAACCACTGGAACAAGAGAAGATAGCACCAAAAGGAAGAACCCTTACTCAAAGGTCTTCACAACCGCCTCCCACCAAGGAGAAGAGGAAGACAAGATCATCACTTGAAGAGATCATAGATGATTTCAACTTTATGGCGAGGAGATTCCCTTATGGTGTGCCGTTTGATAATGCTTGCAACAAGAGTCCATTCATGCAAGACCTAGCTTGGACACAAGATTGGAGTCTAGCTGAATTGGAAAAGATGTACGAGGAAGCAAGAAAGGGGATGCCTAAACCTAGGTTTCTACACAAGCTTCATGACCCAGGTTACTTCCTTATACATTTCTCTATCAATGGAAGCTACTTTGATGATGCTCTTTGCGATTCCGGTTCTAGTGTGAACCTTATGCCGGCCGAGATAGCCAAGAAGTTGGGATTGATCAATTCAATTGTGAAATCTCGAATGGATTTAAAGCTAGCTGATTCATCATTGACCGAACCACTTGGAGAGGTTAAAGACATTCAGCTTGATTTTGGAGGCTGCATAGTTCCAGCCAACTTCTATGTAGTAACCATGAAGGATCCGGAGGACTTAAAGCTTTTGCTTGGAAGATCATTCCTAGCCACAGCTGGAGCGATCATGGATTGGCCTAATAGAAGAATCTCTCTAGCCAATGTTGACAAGGACACCTTCTACGATGCTGCACCTCCCGGTTTCTCATCCAAGCGATTTCGCTACACAAGTGGAGGAGAGTGCTCACAAGTAAGAGGAGAGTCGCATGGCTACTTGATCAAGGAAGTTCTACAGGACAAGATGCACTTGGAATCATCAGGCAACAGGAAGTTCTTGGAGCCACCAATCCTACCTAACTAAGAACACAAAGGAGTCGAGCTACAAAGACTTAAAACAAGCGCTTGTGGGAGGCAACCCACATTTTCTTATCCCTTCCTCTTTTTATTTTTGTTTTTATTTTTATAACTACTTATTTGTTCTATTTATAACTCTTAAATTTTTGAGAGTTTAATAAATTTTACAAAAATAAAATAAAAAGTGTTTTAGGAAAAAGTACCAAAAAGGAGGCTTACATGAAAAATGCATTGGAAAAGCTACATCGCCACAATCGGCCCAAGGATCAACCATCTTTGGTCTAAGTGTCAAGTATTGAGTCTAGTTTGAGTCCCACCCAAGTCCCACCCATGTTTCAAGAAGCAAAGAATCCAAGAAGGGCCGCGGCACAACAAAATCCGGCCATTGGAACACTATTGCACAAGGCAAAGGTAAGTACACTTCCATTCTTATGTCATTTCTTTTAAACACTATTTCTATCAAATTAAACCAATACACACTACTTGGATTTCTGATCAAGATCACAAGTACATATGGTTTCACGATCAAGTCTTTGATTGGGAAGTTCAAACTATTTTGAACAACTCAATCATTGACAGAGTTTAACAAAAGTTACTAGTGTTTTTCAGATTACATATGACAGGAGAACCGGTTCAAAATATCAACAAACATGGCGCGCAAAAGCCACAACCGGCCAAAGGAGGATTTACATGCCAAACATGAGAGATGAGGGAAATCCAACCACAATTCAATCCAGGAGGGATAGAAAAACAGTTCGGTCGAAGCAGAACTCAATTGGCCCGAGTAAAAAGGAGATATCACATTCCAATCACTCTCTCGGCCAGAATCGACGAACCAAGCGACAATGCTCGACCATCTCCCAAACGGCACGACCGAAGTCCACCAAACTTCACAGGCGACCTCAAAACATCATTTTGGTCGGCAAATCCAAAAGATAGGACGAGAAAAGTGCCTGCTACGTGAGATAGACGAAGGAAGCTCAATACGGCCGACGGCGATGCATAGAATGGCCGACGAACTCAAAACCTCAAGAAGGCGCGAACACCGGTGGAAACTGATCCTCTGGAGTCCAAAAAACACCAAGGAAGAAGAAAGGAAGGAGACGATCGAACAGAATACAAGATGGCCAAAGGAATCACATCCCGAAGCCATTGGCGCGCACACGAAAGATCTCCGAATCCACACGTTCAAATCGCCTCAAACTTCACAAGGAGCCACAAAACATAAGGTTGGTCGATGAAATTCATTTCAGTACAATGAATTCCTTACAATTCAAGAGATGGCCGATGGAGTGAAATTTGGCCGATCGCGAGCAAGTAAAATGGCCGACAATCCAAATCACGGCATTTACCGCGGCCACCGGCTCAAATCACCTCCATCAAGCATCCACATCGCATCTAAAGAAGAAAATCCGATTGGAACGAGCAGAATTGGAGAAGACCGAAGGAAGACGTTCCCGGAGCCAATTTGAAAATTTTTCAAAGGAGATCTCAAACCACTCGTTCAAACGACCCCAAACTTCACCAGTCGCCATATTATACAATATTGGTCGACGAAATTTCAAGATAGGTCGAGGAAATCTTCACGGTTCGAGCTGTAGTCCATACCATCACCATCCGGTCGACCAAAACGGACCAGTCTCGGCCAAAAAGGCGAAAAACAGAAAACCAAGGGAGAATTGTCACATTCATCCAACCAAATCCAACAGCTATGATGTTTGCACCAGTCAGTTCATTCCTGGAAGCAACTCAATGCACAACCGATCTTCACATCAAAGGCCAAAAATTTGGGTACAATTTTCTACAAACTCTAACTTTTCCATTCATTTTTTCACCTCTCTTAATTGGATTTTTCTTACACCGAGACGGTGCAAGTTAAGTCTGGGGGGATTACTAACAAGTTTGTTCTTTTTGAATTTCATTGAGTCGTTTTATTGAGTCAAAATTTTGTCAAAGGATTATGACCTTATCTTGGATCTAACCATTGTTGTGCTAACGTTTAAGTGACCATTGAAGCAGTCTTGGCAATACATCTTACCACAGGGACACTATGAGTTGATCGATCTACCAAAAACGCCCACACCTCCAAGGACTTGAGAAGGATCCACTCTTGACTCCGCCCTTAATGAACTTAATCTTCTCAGCTAGGGGCTTGGCATACAAATGGCATGATTCCTCATCCTCTCCATCAAATGAAAAAGTCTTAGTGAGTTCGTGCTTCCCTCTCTCTCCCCTTCAAATTTAAAGAAAAAGCGTAAGGTCCAAGTAACCGGGGATTCGGTGGCAAACACCATCAATACTCGCGTCTATGGAAGGCCTATGAATCCAAGCAACCGGGGATTCGGTGGCAAACACCATCAATACTCGCGTCTGTGGAAGATCCAAGCAAAACCTCTATAATAAAGAGAAGGAGTTGAATAAAAAAATACTTCGCTACCCTAAAAAAGGGATGAGTCAACTCAAAGAAGTGAGAAGAGAGAGAGGAGAAACATGGAGTAAAAAGACAAGTGCCAAAACAAGGGGATGAGTAAGAGTCTAAAGCCGGCTGATCGATACTCCCTAGTTGAGACCACACCTTTAGAAATGAAAGGAGTCAAGGAGGGTGAATTGGATTGTCCAAAGAGAGGTGGGCCGCCTTGGAAAAATCGCAAAACTCATGGTATGTACTCTTGTTCTTAATTCAAATATTTGCCTTTACTACTTTCATGTGGATTACTAAAACCAAGCCAACCCGGATTTCCTAATGATTTGAGAGTTCTTGCGTTTTCAAACCTCTCTTCCTCTCTTAGTTTGCTTGGGGACAAGCAAAAGGCTAAGTCTGGGGGAGTTGATATACCATATCTTTCATGTTTTTATCAAGGTTTTCACTATGTTTTTAATACAAATAATGTGGTTTTTATGCCCAAGAGGTAGTTTTCTTGTATATTCTGGTTTTGAGCATCATTCAGGTCAAAATAGCAAAGAAGAGTCAAAATGGAGCAAAAAGAGTCAAATCACCAAGTTCCCAAGTCTAGAGCACCAAATCTACATTTCTCGCTAAAGACCAAACCGGAGCATCCGAAGTACGACCGCATATTCATGCCTTCCCGACGTCCAAAAGTCATGATTCTTATATGGAAAGATAGATATTTGAGTCATGACCCGCGGCGAAGTGGAAAGAGGTCATTTGGATCACTCGTTGGACCGGAACTTATTTTCTACCAAGACATGTCCGACGAGCGCCTAAGTAGAGCCCATGGAGACTTTGATGGATCAAGAGGCCCGAGATACCGCGCCCAAGGCCTTGGCTCGTCTTGAACAGCATAACTCAATCCAGAAGCTTCCATTGGCCTGAACGCGGCCCATTCAAGAACTTGGAGAGCAAGCTCAAGCGGCTAAAGAGAAATGGAAACTTTCCTCTTCTGCGCGCGCTCAACTTTGCCGACCTAGACCCGCTCTCTACCTATATATACTTGCTTTTAGCCTCTTGTAATAAGAATCACCAGCCGCATAACAAGAAACACTTATTCAATAAAGTTCGGAGCCACTTAGGTGGTCTCCTTCTTCTTTCTTTTCTTCTTTTGCATTTGTATATAGCTTGCATGTTTCAATTTATATAGTCTAGAAGTAGAGATTTCTCCCTAAAAGGGTGAGGTTTTAGTCTATATTCCGCCGCCTCTCTCTCTAAGGATTCATGAGACTTCATCTACTATCTAAGACTCATTGTTGAATTATGGATCCTTCCAATGAGGACGTGATATAATGGCCATCGAAAATCGATTGTTAAAAGGGGAAACCCTATGGTTCTCCATCTTTATTTATGCTTAATGCTTGTTGCTAGAGTAGCTAACTAGTGACTTGATTTTAGGTTGATATACTCTCCAAAAGCTTGTTATATCTCCGGACACAATATTTGATGGGCAAATCGTTTTAGGCTACGAAAGTAGACCTAAAGAGTTTTGTGAACAATCATTACTTGGATGTAATGCATGTCTCACTGCCGATCGAGCTTGTTGTGCGAGCTCAGCTGGTGAAGTGTGAGA